CGAGGTCAACGCCAGGGCCCCCACCAGGCAGCCCGACTGCCACTCCGCGGTCGCCCTCTGCAGCTGGGCCTGCCGGGGCTGCCGGTGTCTGCCCTGTCTCCAGCTCCAGTTGTCCACACCGCCCAGAGGGCCTGCCCCACCGGAGGCGGAGCTGCCCAGAGTCGCTCATCTCTACGGGATGAAGGTGGGGTGTGGAGCAGGGCAGACTCGCCCCTTCCAAGCCAGGTCAGTTAAAGCGGCGGGGGATGGAGAAAGGGGTGTGACTCAGCCCCGTGTCACAGGCGCGTGCACATGACTGCTTCCTCAGCCTTGGGCCCGGCCATTCATTGAGCTCCTCCTGCACGCGGAGCTTCAGGTACGGTGTCCCGGCTGCGCACAGGAAGCCTGCGGCATCACCGTGCGTTATGGAGGAGGAAACCGAGGCTCTGAAAGGAGCCTGTCCCCTGAGCCACATGTGCCTAAGGGCCAAGGCTGGGCATGCAGGGGTGTGGTAGAACAGGTTTGGGGGACAGGGACCAGCAGGTGGCGTGGTGGTTAAGGTGCTGGACACTCCCACATGGCTGACCATGGTTCGAGTCCCAGACCTGGTGGCTTCCTTTCTCACTTTCCCTCTCTCTCCTTCTTTCTCTGTGTCTCTCTCTGGTCAAATTAAAATAAATGAGTGAATAAATAAAAATTAAATAAATAATTATAAAAAATAAGGAAAAATTCATAGTCTTTTTTATTAAAAAAAAAAAAAGAACAGGTTCGGGGGACAAATGCCGGCCCCTCCCAGCCCATATGCCCACAGCCTGCTCAGGTCTCCAGCCCTGAGACTCATGGGAGCAGTCCGCACGTCCCCCAGGAAGGCCGCCACATCGCAGACTGTCCAAGCATGGCCATCTGTGCCCAGTCGACTGACGGCCCATGCCTCTGGGCTAGAGACCAGCTTCTGGAACATAGAAGGCGAAAGTGACGCTGCCAGCTCTTCCCGCGGTGGCCTGTGGGGCTTGGGCAGGCTGGCCTCAGCAGCGGGGTGAACTCTTGGGCTGAGGAACCTGAAGGTGACACCATGATGATCCGCACTGTGGGCACCCGGACACGGCAAGGCCCCTCGTGGCAGGGTCTGGGCTCTAGCCAGACATTGAGTCTGCGGGCACATCAGTGTGACCAGACTCCACGTGAGTCACGCAGAGGCAACGTCCAGGCTGCCCAGACAAGCATGAACCGGAGTGGCACTCAGACATGGCAGGACACATGGCCGTGCCCCTGCGGCGGCATCTGGACCCTCCGCCCAGTACTGGCCAGCTGGGTGGCCGTCTCCCGGATCGCCCGCCAGTGTCACGAAGTCATCGTGAGCTGCTCCCTGAGGCTCAGCGGCCGGCGTGGGCCAGGACGTGGGCGTTGGCGACAGCCTGCTCCCTGGCAGCCCTCGCCCGGGCCTGTTCCAGTAAGATGTGCAGGAGGCCAAGGGGGACATCCAGCGACAGGGTAATGCGTGGGCCACGGCGGGGGCTGGGGCTGGAGTAGGCCCTGGTAGCCAACGGGCCTGGGGTGGTGGCCGAGGGGGTGTGGCTCTCCGAGGCGGCAGGGCGGGCAGTGGTCCCAAGACTGTCCTGAGGGAGGAGCTGGGCAGCTGGGGTGTGGGTCTCCGGGACAGCCAGGACTCCACCCAGCGCCAGGACAGTCAGTACCAGCAGAGGGCCCCTGGGCATCGTGGTCACGCTGCAAGGAGGGGACAAGCTCAGGCCAGGGGCTCTGCTTGGCCACGCTGGCCAGACAGACGTGAGAGCAGACAGACGGAAAGACAGGGCCGCAGGGGCAGCAAAGCCAGGCCAGGGGCAGAGATAGACAGGGACAGAGAGAGGTGACAGAAGAGAGCCAGAGTGAGACAGGAACTCAGACAGAGCCAGGGAGGGGCTCAAGGGGAGACTGAGAAAGGATGACAGAGACAGAGAGGAGGATGGATGGATGGAGAGAGAGAGGGAAGAGGCAGAGAAGCTAGATGAGGCAGACCAAGCTAGAGGGAGACTGGAAGGAGAAGGCCGTCAGAAACCACCGCAGAGACAGACCATGCTGGCAGCGAGACACGGGGACAGGGGAGACCGAGGTCTGAGCACGACAGCTGGCAGCTGCTCCAGGAAAGGGAGGGCAGGAGTCAGAGAAGCAGCCGAGACCTAGAAGCCCAGGTCCACCCGGACCCCGCTCCTTCCCTCCCAGCCCAACCCCAGTCCTACCGGCCTCCTCTGGGCTCAGTGGGGCCACCGAGTGGTCTGGGCTGGGCAGGCAGTGCGTCCCGTGTCTGAGCCAATGCCCCACGGGGCCCATTTATCTCCCTCGGCCTCCTGGCAGGAGCTGGGGCATGGTCCCCCCATCTATGACTCACCCCTCCTGGGGGTCAGCAAGGACATATTCCCGGCCCACACCCTATCTCTGTCCTCCGGGGACAAGTTGGGGACTAAGGTCACAGGGCAGTGACCGGGGTGGGCAGAGGGATGCTATACTCATGACCCCCCAAGGAAACTCTGTCCGCAACACCACCATCTCCCCAAACAGTCACACAGGGGCCTTTTCAAACAGCAGCTTTAATGCCCCCAGAAGCAGCACCGTGTCGTCACAGGCGTGGGTCAAGGGGCGGGTGAGACGCCAGTCACATCCGCTTGGCCCACAGCCGCCCCCCCGCGGCGAGTCACCCGCCTGGGCGGTGAGCAGCAGGAACCACAATGGGGGCTTGTCCACAGGGGGTGAGGCCAGACCCAAGGGACAAATCACTGAAATAACGGACACGCACACGCGTGCTCACGTGCACACGGGCCTCTAGCACCAAGGGGTGGGACAGCAGGGGCGGCCGAGCGCCCGGCCCCTCCAGGGGACGCTGACCTCAGCTCGTCATCTGGGCCTCAGCTCTGGGCAGCACCTGGTGGCAGGTGGGAAGCAGTCTTCAGTGCCAGCCAATGAGACCTGGCGGCACGGGGCCGGGGCAGGCCACAGTCTAGGACAGGCTCTGACCTCAGAGTGGGGACCTGCGCTCGGGGCGCTCAAGGAGGGGACACAAGGGCCCAAGGGCCTTCTCACTACTAGGGTTCTGTACTCAGTCCTTTGGTCTGGGGGATATCTCAGGTCACCAGCCTGAGGGCCCTGGGCTGGTGGCTGCTGGGGTGGGGTCTCATACCTGTTCCCTGGCTCTGGGCCACCTGGGGTGAGCAGTGGCGCTCACAGGCCTCTTGGGTCCCGAAGCGGTTGGCATTCCCTCCGCAGCCACCATAGACAAAGGGGCGACAGGCCTCAGTGCCATCCGGCCCAGCTCGGTGGTACCAGCGCAGGGTATAGGCGGTACAGGAGCCCTCGTCCAGCGGCAGGGAGCAGGGGTCTGGCCCAGAGGGGTCAGGTCAGGAGTGGGCCTGGGGATCCCCGAGAGGGCTGCAGGGCCCGGTACTGCCCACCCCCCCCAAGTCCTGCTGGGCCCAGCCCCCCTTCTCACCACCACCGTGCCCTGGAGCCTCAGGGTCCTGGTACTCCTCCACGGAGTACTCAGAGTACTCGGAGAACTCGTCGTCCTCGGGAGGCAGCAGGTCTGCGGCAGGGCGGGGTGTGGTGTGAGCACGCGCTGTGTCTACACATGTGCCCGGCACACACACGCTCCGTGAGCTGCGTGTGCCCTGTGCACGTGCACACTCCCGTGTCTGTGCCCAGGGGCCTGGTATCCTCACCTTCTTCTGCATGAGAGACCCGCAGCACGGGCACGCGGTGGAGTTGGGAGCCGGCTGTGTCTGCAGCGTAGCTGGGGAGGGGTCCTGGAGCAAAGAGCAGGGGTGCAGGGCCTGGGGTCACCAGGGTAGTGCCCCAGCCATCCCCCCAGAGGACGCAGGTGATGGGCGGGGCAGGGCCCAGGGTGAAGAAAGTTCCAGGAGCAGAAGCTACTCACGTGACCCAGATGCGATGAACTGGCCCTGGCAGGCTGAGGGGCAGAGAAGGACAGCGGCCAAGAGAGAAAGAGGGACAGAATACGGGGGTAGAGATGTGGGGTGAGAGGCAGGAGAGAGGAGAGAGTGAGGCAGCGACAGGGAGAGGCAGGACGGCGGGGAGAGGCCGACATGAGGGAAGGTGGGGAGAGGCCGCCCGGGGGCACCACCGACCAGGGAGGAGCCAGCAGAGCCAGACGGCGCGGGGAGGGGGAGCAGGAGCAGGTGTAGGCAGAGAGGCAGGGAGAAAAGAGTGTCACTCTCCGATGCCCCTCAGGTCACCACAGACCCGCCTGGTCCATGGCAGGCCCCAGGGGACCGTCATCCCGGACTCTGGGTGGCCACCTGCAGCTGCCTGTGGCTCCCTGTGCTGGGAGAGGTCCTGCTGCCACGTGTGTCGTGAAGCCCGTGTCCTCCATGCCATCCATGTCCACCCACCTCCTCACCCGCCTGTCCTCTGTAAGCTCTGGGGACCCCCTGCCCCTGTCTAGGGGGGCCGATGGAGCAGGAGGGGACCCGGGAGGTACCGAGGAGGCCCACTCACCGCAGTGCTGACTCATCTCCTGACGCACAAAGGCCCGGATGTCACCCTCCTGGGAGGCAAGGCCACAGGGACCATGAGGAGCCCACAGTGCAGGGATCACGGGGGGGGACAGCGTGGGGGCAGGCCCAGGGGTTGGGGTGTCACCTGAGGACAGCAGTCCCAGCCCGGCCCAGCTCACACTCACCGTCAGGGCAGCCTCTCCCTTCTCGCCACGGAGGCCAGGAGGTCCTGGCCGCCCCTACGTGCGACAGAGGGGACAAAGCTGTGACCTCTGATCTAGGGACACCAACAGTCACCCCACTCTGACCACAGGCCCAGGAGTTCCCACTCACCTGCTCCCCTCGCTCACCGGGGGCCCCAGGGGCCCCGGGGGCCCCCACCACTCTCTCTCCAGGAGGGCCTCGCTCACCCTGCCGGGCACACAGGCCACACGGGCATGTCAGGGCCGGCGAGCTCAGAAGTCGGGCAGGGAGGAGATCGTGGGGCAGGGAGAGGCTGGGGCAGGGTTAGGGTGGGCACAGCACAGAAGTCATGAGGTTGGGAGGGTCGGGGGTCAGGGTCGGAGTCGGGGTCCCTTACCTTCTGACCCTGAAGTCCCTCAGGGCCTTTGGGACCAACACTGCCAGGGGGCCCTGGAGGGCCGCTAGAGCCATCGTTGCCCCTGGGACCTGGGAAGCCCCCAATTCCCGGGGACCCCTGGGCAAAGGCAGGACAGGGTCAGTGACAGGGTACCCAGAGTGGACCCACTCCCCTCAACCCACCCTGACCCTTGTCCCAACTCACCCGCTCCCCTTTCTCGCCCTGGTCACCCTTGGGTCCTGGCTGCCCGTCAAAGCCTCGGTCACCCTGGGGACAGACGAAGCATGAGAGACCCTCTGCCCCATGTACCCCTGGCCTGCCTCCCCTCCTTCAGTCCTACGTCCTCGCTGTGACCCCAGCCCAGCCCGTCCCATCCCTGTGTCCCAGCGCTCCATGCTGCCTTGACCCTAAGCCCTGCGGCCCGCCCTGCCCCCGTCGTGTCCTCTGTGCAGTAACCCTGTACCTTGGGACCGATCAGGCCCTCCTTGCCCGGGGCCCCAGACTGGCCCGGCACTCCCGGCTCCCCCTGGAGAGAAGGAGACACAAGCTCGGCCCTGGACCGCAAGGGCCCTCCTCTTCCGGGTGCCCCACACTCACCGTCTCTCCTCTGCGTCCTGCCAGCCCGGGGCGGCCCGGGAGTCCAGCTTCTCCCTGCGGGCACCAGGCGGGGGTCAGCCCTGGGCCCAGGCCCCGGAGCCCCCACACCCCACATCACCTTACCTTGTCTCCCTTCTCTCCATCGAGGCCGCAGGCTCCCTTCACGCCCCGCTCGCCCTGGGGGGAGAGGCAGGTGAGACCCGCCCAGGTACCTCCCTGATGGACCCAACCCTAAACCAGCTCTCCACGCTGGTGCTGGCGTCAGGCACTCCGACCTCCAACCTCACAGCCCAACCTCACCCTCCAGCCTCAGCTGACCAGAAAGACCCATCCCCTTCCCACCTTGAGGCCCCGGGGGCCCATGAAGCCAGAGTCGCCTTTGTCTCCCCGGACGCCAGGGACTCCGTCCTTTCCTGGAGGTCCCTGGAGGGGAGGGGTCAACGTGAGGTCAGGGGAGGCCAGTGAGGGACCCAAGGGAGTCACCCCAACAGGGGGAGGGGATGTCACAGGGTGAGGCCACCACTGGCAGCAAGGTCTGTCACAGCAGGAAACACTACCAGAGGGGCCGCGGGGGAAGAGCG